GACCCGTTGGACTTCAGCTTCAGAAGCCCAAGAAGAAGATCTTCCCGCCACCGCTGCACTTGTGGCTCACAATGCCCCGCCGACATCCGACGAGGCCAAAGTCGCAGATCTGAACCCCTTGAGCAAGGGATTGACTACTGATAATGCGCCCGTTCTATCAAAGAGAGCATGTCAGAGACGGCGACAACGCCTCGCGCGCCAGCGAGCTAAGGCCTTAGAGCCAGTTAATGGAATTCGCTATGAAGTGGATCTGAAGTCCAGGAGGCACCAAGCGCCGCAACAGCGGGCAGCCAACTCCTCCAACTCAACGACGAATGAATAGATCCGCGTCAAAAGGACGCGTTCAACCCTTAAAGAACGGATCCAGAAATGCCACGCGTTACTCGCGCATGCGCGAGTTCTCATGCAGGAAGTCAGATATTGAAACAAGAAGAGGTGGTCAAGATGCCACCAAGATCACGCCGAGTCTGGAGACTAGTGCCCGAAGGCATCGAAAAACTAAAAAAATTACTTGCTGGCTCGGTCAGAACCGAGCCACCAAATGGTGGCTCGACCAAATCCGAACCACCAAAGAGTGGTTCGAGCAAAAGTCAGACTGGTTCGGTCCGTTTCGCTGCTGGTTCACTTCATGTAGTCCCGTCTGAGTCTCCGACGACCCCTATTACTGTCCCGGCAAATCAAGACCTCCGGTGGAGCCCTATGGTAGTGTAGACTTATCCCGATTTAAGATGAAGATCACAGATCGTCTCGGTCCATCACACGCGAATCGAGGCAAGGCCCCGGTCAAAGAGTGTTTGGGCCCGTTGAAAGAATTTCGAACGGTGTATCAGGCTGGGGGTCGTAATAATTCTCCTAAGCAGTGGAAGAGATCGCATGACGGGAAAATACCCGTAAATGACCGCATTGGATTGTGTGTCGAGGTCCAGGAGCCTGTTGAAGGCTGACGTTCACGAAAACATAGCCTCAGACATGCGACTCCTGAAGACGCTCACGAGGCGTTGAATTCCCAGAAAAAAAAGTACTCGTCGGACAAGGACGCTACACCTAGGGAGTCATGCTGTTACACGATGGGTTGCTCCGATCATCAGACTAATGAGTTATACTATCGAGCCCGAGGTACGAACAAGTCTCAGAGAAGGAATAACCGAGAACCGGACTCCCATTGTCCGTGTTCCAAAATTATCAAGGCGGTGTTGTCAGAATGTTGTTGTTCCAAAGCTGCCCCAGAGAGAGTTTCAATGTTTGAAAGAATCTCCACCAGAACGTCCGAGTTCAAACCAAGGCGTTTCCGCAAGAAGAGAGCTGCCCTTCAAGACGATGAATTTCATGAAGTATCCGTCAATGTGAACGGTAAAGGGTAGTCGACACGACACTTTAGTCCCGATCATTTCTCAACGGTATCCCAACATATGACCTAATTACGATCGGGAACCATTAGGCAGAGGGATTACCAAAGAATACAAAAAGGACTACCCTCAGATGACGAAACATCAGATGCTTGCTCAGATGCCTGCTTAGCAATGGCTTCCGATGATACAACATCTAGCGCGGGGCAATCCTATGAGTCACTCATGATCAGCACAGAGTAGATGACTAAAATTCTTGATGATGCTTTAATCAAGCAGAAAGAGAATTTTAAATTTGAAATGAAAATGGTTATGCAGCAGATGAGGGAAATGCATGACCAACAAATCACGGTATTGACGAATCAGCAGGGAGAGCCCAGCCGTCGTAACAATCCCAACCAAATTAACAGTGATCGGGAAGCGGAAGAGAATACCAACATGGATCCCCCTCTTGTCGACAACGATACTGGGAGTGGTCCCTCGGATGATCACAATACAAAAGAGGACCACGTCACTTTTCCCCAAAATCGCTCGAAGAGAGATACGAGCGAGGATAAGAAGATGAGACACTTAGAGGGCAAAATCAATGCGTTGATGAGTGATCAGGAAATAAAAAAGTCCGGAATAACGTGCCCATACCCAAGAGAGTGGGAATCAATCCCGTATCCGGCAAAGTTTAATTTAATCAACTTCACGCTGTTTGCCGGTTTAGTCTTCCACCAAGTGAAAAAGACACTAGAATACAAGTCTGTGAACTTTTATCCCGAATCCTAAGTAGGGATGAGTCAGCACCTAATACCCGTTGCCGGGTGCTATATTCTCGTAAGAAATGGTGAAGTCTATGTAATCAAAATCATAACACCAAATCTAAGAGAATTAACTCTCTTAACACAACGTTACATGTGAAACGGGTTTTAATAATTCACATGCTAGCCTGATTCAAACGGTAATCGGTAAAGACACGTCAAATCCGTTGAAGGCTGGGGATTTGCCAAAAATCCTAAGTCTACGTCTAACACAGGTCGCCGGTTTAGTCTTTCACTGATTGAAAAAGACACCAGAGTCTAAGTCTGAGGAATTTTATCCTGAAGCCTAAGTAGGGATAAGTCAGCGCCTAACACGCGTTGTCGGGTGCCATATACCTGTAAGAAATAGTGAAGTCTATGCATTCAGAGTCATAACACCAAGTCTAAGTGAATTAATTCTCTTAGCACAACTTCAATGTGAAACGGGTCTTAATAATTCACATGCTAGCCCGACTCAAACGGTAGTCGGTAAAGGCTCATCAAACCCGTTGATGGCTGAGGATTTACCAAAAATCCTATAAATATTATGGTTGATTATTCCAAACAGAATAGGACATCATAATAAAAGAGGTATAATGAACGAAAAAAAAAATATCTTCTATTAATGAAAATTGAGTTTGCAGGTACAAAAGTCACAGTCAATCTACATGAAGCTTATGGCTAAGAACTTGTTGCTCTAACTTCGACAACTCTTCCACATAAGCTTGCTCGGGCTCACCCTGCAATGTAGCCTTCATGGATTCTTCGTTAGCAGCTAACATCCTCGCAGCCTCTTCTTTCGCCTTGGTCAGCTCCTATTCCGAGAGTTCCAACTCCCTAGACACCATCTCTCGGCCGCGTTCTTCGCCAACCCTTGCCACTTCTAAATATCCTCAAGCCTCTTCTTCCGCTTGAAGCTCCTGTTTAAGTTGCGCTATCTTGCCAGCACTTGATGCAAGGGAGGACTTGATATTGTGCAGAGTTTGTAATTTGTCATCAAGGACGGCTTTCATCTTATCTACTTTACTTTGACACGTTTGGACCTCAGGTTCAACCAACTCCTGGGCATCGCACCACGTTCGCAGCCGAGATGCCATCTGAGCAGCTATATATGAAGGAGCACCTGTATCACGAAACTCTTGAAGTGTTTAAAAATCACGTTCCAGGCGATTCAAGTCATCAGCAATAGTTTGTGCCAAGTGTAGCGATCCGATTTTCTCTATCGGGACCAACTTGAGATCAAGAAGTGGCCTAAATTGACGGAAAGAGGCCCCACTATGAAGAAGTTTGTCGATCATCTTGCTCACGAATGTAAAAAAGCTGCTAACTTCCATACAGAGGACAATCTGATTTGGATCATCATCTAAAAATAGCGCTTTGACAAGATCGTGAAGTTCAAACGGAATTTCTGTAAGAAAAAAATAGGAGTCAAATATTTCAGAATATTAACTCGAATATCTCCAAGTTTCGGGGTGAAGCTTACCAATACCGGTAGAAGTTCCCTCAGCTGGATTCCCAACACTTGATTCCATCTACCCGGCCTCATGAACTGGTGGAGGCGCTATAAAAGTAACAACCATCGATGTATCAACTTCTTCGTTTGGTCCGACGACTTGTTCAACCGGATTAGTCTCCACACCTGAGATAGTCATCTCATTTGTTGAGAGTGGGAGATGAGTCGGAGTAATCGACGAATGATCTTGTACGATAGCTCCTGCCGCTCGTAGGAAATCAGGACCCTTAGAAGCGTCAGATATCTCAACGTTGGTGTTTGTATCAGTCTCAATGACTGGTCCTACAAAAGAAACTCCTCTATAGTTAAGTAAATCCGAAATAGGAATAATTGTCGTAGAGGGATAAAATTTATACCTGCAGAGGAACCGAGCTTGGCGAACGCTTCGACGGTATCATGACAAGCTTGTTCCAACAACATATCGTCAGTACCAAAGGGTCTAATACCGGATCAGGTGAACGGTCGTCCGACGCCTCAAAGGCTATATCATGAAAGGGGTCTTCGTTATCTGAACTCTCCATGGGAATATCTATGGAAAAATCTGAATTTTAAGACGCAGAAAGAGAAATTGGTAATCCATAACAAATAAGAATTGGATTTACCTTCGTTAGGGACAACAGATTCTGCAATCCCAGTATTGGCGCCTATTTCTTAGAGTTTTTCTAAAAGAGCCAAAAGCATAAAAACAATTAACGGAGGCACGAATTCTGAATCTGTCAATTCCTGGAATCGCCATTTGAAAGGTGTACTACCGGTGTTAGATGTACCTGGGTTAAAGACCGTCATGGACGAACTAGGTCCTACCCCGGTACCTTCGCTGGTTTCGACTGTCATATCCACTACAGCGTTATCAGGCTCACCGAGAGTAGCTCCGTATACTTGCTGCGAAGGGTTATGCTCTTGGAACAAATCAAAATTGGGAGAAGGAGGATCATAAATGGTCTCACTCTGGTCATGTCCCCCAGAAATGCAGATTCACTAAGTCTAACAGAGGAAACAATCAAGAAACGGCAAAGAGTTGAAGCATTTCCTGCCCCAACGATAGATGTGTCGATGGGTGGGTCTACTTTGGAAACTGGCGATGCAACGCGTCGTCTGAAAATCATCTTCTAGCGCTTCAAAGGCCGCACCTCATCATGATCCATAGGCCTATTCGGTGCAGAGTTAACGTGTGGTTCAACTATCGGATTAATCTGGACCATGGTCCGAGAGCAAGTGCGAACAATAGGACGACCTCTCACTTCTTCTCCTTCCTTAAAACCTACACCTCGAATTTCAACAAACATTTTATGAGGATAAGTGGGCAAAGCTTTCCATCTTTTTCGGGTCTTGAGTCGGCGAATTCGATCGGCGATTGCCAGATCCAACAGCTCTTCGAAAAAGACCCTGACAAACTTGTGCTGAGTTCCTCTTCGTTGTTGTCCGCCGCCTCATCCTTATCACTGGCGATGTTTACATCTAAGCCTTCTTCTCCGGAAAGAAAGGAATTTCCCCCTTGTGCCCTATTACTGGAAGGACCGGCGGGTTCTTTTCCTTTTCTCTTCTGGTATTCGGCTTCATAAACCATTTAGGTAGCGATCCGAGCTGCTGCCTCGGCCGTCAACTCTGCAATTGGCTTCACTGAAACAGGTTCATTGGCTGCTAATAACCAGCGGCAACATAAGAAGGTCAGCTCTAATTTGCGTTCAGCGATCGGAAGGCTAAATCTTGCGCTGGTACAACATGTAATACTCCATAGCCACGCTCGAGCACTGTCCACCAAGCCGCCGCAAGTCCGAAGTCCTGGGTTTAGGTTCCTAATATATATCTGATCGTACCCGAGTTGTTGTGCAAACCTACACGGCAGATGCGGCTCTATGTAACAACGATTTTTTACTCGGAAAATCAGATAACTCGGCCTAATGTTCACTAGCCAATCAAAACATCCAGTGTCAAGGCAGGTTCGACCAGTACCAAGCCTCTCCATATCAACCAATGAGTCACCATATCGGCCCAAAAATCAGGGGAAGCATGCGGGGAAAACCCAACATTTATGGTCCTGCAGCCGTCTCTTTATGTCCATAAATCCCCGTCCTTTCCATTTACAATCTTCTATCAGCTGTAGTAGGGGAACAGACTGGTCCGCAGCACTCGGGGCGAACATCATGTAGGAGCGATGACGAACAAACCACGCCATCAAATACGCGTAAGGTGTTAGACCCTAGAGGGGGGTGATTAGGATCTTATGTTAATCTAATCCGATTTTATGCTAATTAAAACTAATTAACAAGTTATCCTAGCAAGTATAAAATACAACAAGATATGTGAGCTAGAATAAGTGATATACACAAGGGTAAACAAATTAAACAAGATAGTGGATGATATAAATAATGAGCAATGGACAATGGCGATAAGAAACATAAACATAAGAGTAAGTGCGTCAAAGCAAACTCAAACACACGATATGATCACGGAGTTCGGACCTTTCGTCCTACGTCTCCGCTCCCCACTCCCGGGGAGAAATCCACTATCACAATCGGGTTTTCTACGCTCACCCGAATAACGTTTATACCTAACAATTTCATTCACGGAGTTCGGTCCCCACGACCTACGTCTCCGCTCCTGACCTAGAGGATATCTCCACTTCACACTCGGTTTTCTAGCTAACTGAAAACTTTACAGTCTCACAATATAACAAATGATTTGTTCTCTACAATAGATAAGAACTCAATGTAGGCTCACACTCAATGTTACAACTCTTATCATCCCAAATATACTATGTATGAAAATACAATAAGCTCAAGTGGGTGTGTGTAAACAATGAGTGAAATCAAATCAACAAAACTCAGTTAAAATCTAGCTTATGGGAATTTATGAATAAAACAATAAATAGCTAGAAATAAAGTTTAGAAAAACTTCTCTATAGATCAAGAGGGAGAGGTAGAAGAGTTGGATGTTCAAACAATGTAGATGATCTTCCTCAAGCTCTTGTAAAATTGTTTTCACAAAACAAACCCTTTAAACAAACTTAAAACAAACTTAAAACTCTTTTAAAACTTCTTTAAAACATTCTCTTAGTTATACATGAAAGATGAGAGCAAATGTGTATATATAGCCTCCCAAAATCTCAGCCAAAACCCAACAGAAAAGACCAAAAAGCCCCCTGAAAAACAGCTCAGGAAATAGCCGTTGGAGTCCAACGGTCAAATCGACGATCGACCGTGGAAAACTCGCGGTCGGCCGTGAGCAACAAAAAGGCCAGAGTTTGGCTCTAGACAACAGACGGTCGATCGTGGCGGTCGACCGCGAAACTCTCTGGACTGCATCCGATCGACCGCCACGGTCGATCGCGAGCCTCTGAAAAACTTACTGAGTCTCTGGACTCATGGGCGGTCGACTGTGGCGGTCGACCGTAAACTGACATATGAAATTTCAGGTTTATAAACAGTTTTCTGATTTTAAAACCCTGTTTAAAAATATCAAATAAATTCTAAAAAATATAGAACTTTGGGAAATGATTGTAGACATGATAATACACATTCAACTCATCATTTGGCACATATGCATTTTAATTAGAAGTAGAACATAAATAGTCATTTATAAAAGAAGCAGTATCATTTTTTATGTTATTTACTTCTAACATGGTATTATTTTTATCATGAGTCAAGTTAGTAATATTCAATTTCAAATTATTATTTTCCAAATTTAACATATCATTGTTTTCTTGAAAAGCAATACTTTCTTGAAAAATGATATCAAATTTGGAAGCTAACTTCTCATGATCGTATTTTAAATCTTCATGCTTGCTTTGCAAATCAATAAAATTTTTATGCAACATGTTATAGGCATGCAATAATTTTTCACTAGCACAAGCAAGTTCATCACTAGATAAATCATTAGTGGTTTTGAACTCGCAAACCTCACTAGGGCTATCGCCTAGTGGCCGTGTGCATGATGCTCCATATGAACTTGAAGCCGGATCCTCCAAAGCTTGTCGGATCGTCTCCAAGTCCTATTGATGTGCTTCAATAAATTTCCATAAGGTGTAAGCACTATCAAAATGAACAAACTTGTTAGAGAGAGATGAGTTAAAAGCATTTAGCAAATATTCTAACAAAATATTGTTCATAGTAATCCTTCTATGATCATCTTTACTCCACTTGGATTTCTCCAAAGTGGGTACAATATAAGCACAATCTATAATTTTCCATAATTCAAAATGTTTAGAATGAACAAAAAGTTTGAATCTAACACTCCATTAGGCATAGGAAAAATTATCCAAACGAGGAG